GAAGCCAGTCCCTATTACTTATTATTTAAGTTACTGGTGGCGATAAACCTGGAAATCCTCACATGACGGTTGTTTAGCCCTCTGTCAAGCTGGAGAAGCGAAAGTAAAGCTTGATTTATAAAATACAAGAAGTATCATGTTAGAAGGAACAGACTCGCACAATGGTGCCCGCACAGTTGGACCTTTTGATTTATAAATATTTAAGATTGTTTGATTTTCACAAATACAAGATGTGTGTCCTGCGCAAATAATAATGATAATGCCAAAGTGATAATAAAGGCTGCATTGTTCCTGTTCACGATGACATCATCACAGTTTACAGCAGGCTGCTGGTTTCACTTTGACCTGCTGCACTTGACGTACTTCAGCAAAATCAGGGACCAACGTTTGTTTATGTTTCCATTTGAGTTCACTTAAGCAATGTATTGTGTGTTCATAGATATCAGCAAGAACACACACACACACACACACACACTCACTCACTCACTCACTCACTCACTCACTCACTCACTCACTCACTCACTCACTCACTCACTCACTCACTCACTCACTCACTCACTCACACACTCACACACTCACACAAAGGCAGCTGGCATGAAAACAGTGTGATATGATCCCAGGCCAATCTGCTCTGTTGTGATTAAGTATGCTTGCTTTAACTGTGCAGGGCTCTCAGGTCTGAAAGAGAGAGGGAATGTGTGATTCTGTGGTTCAGTGACGGTATGCAGAGTCGCACCCAGTAATGTTAAAGTGATAGAACTCCACTGACAGGCACCACTACTGCAATACTTAACGACAATTATCCACCAGAATTTGAGGTCTGGAGAAACTCAGGAACCTTTGTTTGCAGTTTTCCGGGAATAATGAATGCACATTAAAATCGTTTGTCTGACGTTTTCCAGATCGTGGGTTTGTCACTTCAACAGAGAGCGAGAAATTCTTCATGAAGAGAGTCGAGGAGATTCTGAAGGAGAATGATTTTGACGTGTAAGTTCCTCTTCTTTCTTCCGATCTACTATCGCTTTTGGACTGATGGAAATCAGATGTTTCTGAACTCATTGAATCTAATAGTTGTTCTTGGACATTATCCCTTTTCACTGGCGATTGCCACTCCCTGGCAAGCAGAAACAAACAACGTTTGTAAACAAGCACAAGATGCTTCCAGTCACATTAGTGAGCCCCAGTCTCAGTCCACATGCATCCAGAGCTCCTCATCTGGGAATCTGCATAGAGCATGTCCTCACCCACCCTCTGCTTGCAGGGCAGGGGAGTGATGGAGAAAGTGAATTGCGAACAGATATTTTGAGGGGTTGTAGTGTAGGGGGGGTGACATGATGTCGATGAGATAGCACCCCTCCTTCTGCTCCCACCATGAGTATTTCCTGTTAAATAAAAGTACAGTTGGCTTGGCAACCATGCATTCCTCTGCACCAGACCCAGATGGCTCCCATTCACTAACCTCTAATATGAGACAGGAAAAGAGGAAACACACACACACACGCAGCCACACACACACACACACACACACACACACACACACACACACACACACACACACACACACAAGCTTAGTGCTTGGTAGTAAAATGTGTTAATTGCTGCAGAATCTCCTGTTGCCTCTAAAGTCGCTTGCTAGCAGACTAATTAAGAGACAGGCAGACAGTGGCACGTGGATGCTTTGTTCCCTGGAGCCACCCCCCCCCCTCTCATTGAGCCGCAGAGCAGACTCTGAATGACGATGAGACCGCTGCAGCAGCATCTTTCTGGCTGGCAGCCCAACCTCAGAGCTGCAAGATGTCAGCTGATTAAAAACTCTGAAAACATTGATTTGACTGGAAATAATGCTGCTCAGACAGACTGGTGAAAAAAAAATAAGGTGTTTCCCCTTGTCATAAGCGAAGCATCTGCCAATAGAACAAGTGAACATTTGCTTTGTAAGATTTCTTGAAATAAGATGGGATATTTACTAAATATCCCATCTTATTTCAAGAAATCTTATAAATAAGTTTCCCCGACTATTTACAATAACTGATTTCTCTAAATATTGTTTAGAAAAATCAGATCTTGTAAATAGTCTGGGAAACTTATTTTGAGCCATATTTTGCAGAATCAGGAAATGTTGTGTTACAGAATAAGCCAGAAATGCTCCAAAGTGTTCTATGTTCTGATTAGTTGGTGATTTCCCCCCCCCAAAAAAAAAACGTATAATATAATATGCTTTTAAGAGTCTTTGACTTTAAAGATACTTAAGATGCATTGTCTAGAAACAAGACCCTACTGTATATCTCACTGCTTGATACTTCTTAAGGTCTTATGTCAAGTGTAAAGACATATCAGTGTTTCCCCTATATACAAATAGCGGCGGCGCAGCTCTCAATTTTCAATCTCAATTTTTGACTCAATTTCAGTGTCTCTCTACTCAGGACACAATAGGCGCTTTCACACCAAGTACTTTGCCGCACTTAGTTCAGCAGAACGCTTTAGTTCTGATGAAGCTAATGCTAATGCGAGTATAATAAAATGGCGGCTTCACAAAACTTTTTGGGAGTTTTACGGGGCGTGGTTTGCAATCCGCCCAGCCAATCAGACATAGGAACCTTTTTCTCCCATGAAAGTACCTGCTCTCTAGCAGGGACTGAAAAGGGGGTAAAAAGGTTCTCATGAACTAAGTTCCAGTTCCGGATTTTTTTGGTGTGAACGCTCGTTTTCGGAACTATATCGGAACTATACTGGGAAAAGTACTCCGGTGTGAAAGCGCCTAATAGACATGTTCTTCTGTGAGTGACAGGGAGGACCAAGAAGACCTTCTCAATGAAATGACTCTCCATTCGGACCCCCGGACCCCTGAAGCCCAGCCTTGCACCCCAGCTAATGCTGTGGAGGAGCACAGGCCCTCCCAGCCAGGTAAGGCCAACCGCTGAGAGCTGCTAATGCTGAAATACTGTCTCTTTATTGGACAGTTTAAAGGTCCCATGTCATGGCCATTTCCACTGATCATATTTCCATTGTTGAGGTTTACTAGAATAGATTTATATTGTTACATTTTCCAAACTCACATTGGTCTCTCATACAGCATCTCTGTAAAGTATGTGTATTCACCAGCTATTCACTTTCTGTCCTAAACGGCTTATTGGAGCTCGCCCCCCCCCC